ATTTAAATGTTTTAATAAACATAGTAACAGTTCCACACCATAAATGCGTAGTTTATCCTAAAACTTTTATTAAATTTATTTTTTAATCTTATTGTGTACTCTAAATACTATGTATACATATATATATAATACCTAATGTATTATTATTAATTTTATTTTTTTATTCATTTGTCAGTCAGTAGTATCAGATACTAGGTCAATGATATCTGAAATTACAGAGTCAAATAAATAATTGACTGAAAAATTGTATTTATCAAACATAAATGCGATAATGCAATCTGAGCACCCTGATATTATTCATAAGGCGACCGTATATTTTTTGTTGTGATAACATATTACTGCTAAAAAGCTAACGAATATATAATATTGAAAGTAAATTCGAAGTGACATTTGCTTAATCAAAAACAGTACTTGCTCAATATTACATGAAAATAAATAAATGACAACCCTGTTAAAATAAGTGCACCAAATTGTCAAAAATGGAGATCGAAAAAAAGAACTCGATATGTTTATCTTAACGAAATGAGGAGTATATTCTTGTTTTGAATATTTCTATTTTTAAGACTATAGTACATATAGTATTAAACTAACGTTATTTAGTACAGTAAAAAACAAGTTTTCTATATTACTCTATAATGATCCAATTATATGAAAGGTCTCATAAAGTAACATGAGAATGATGTATGAATCTTAAATTACAGACCATTTATTAAGGTAACACCATGTCGCAATTATTTATTTTTTTAATTTAGCATAATCTCAAACATGATACTGAAACTACTCATAGCACTCTATGGCAAATAATAGTGTTACGGCAATGACGTAATATCATATAAAGTCTTCATTAGTCTCCACACCTGAGTATTAAGCGCAGCTATGTTTGTTTTCTATTAATTTCACAAAGATTTTGTAGAAATACAAATTATCTTATACCAACACTAGTTATTTAATCTAATTGAGACCAATTAGTCTTCTAAAAAGACCCAGTCCCAGCTTCTTCGAGAACCATTAACTCAAACGCAGTTTTTTAAGACGAGATGTTTTCATGAATTAAAGGTTTAATTACAAAACGCTGTATAATATTATCAAAGTGGCCTTCATCTATGGATGCTTTGATGTGTTTTGATTTTAAAATTATTATCAGTCTTTTTTTAAGTATTTAATAGGAATATGTTACAATTGTTAAAAATTAACTTTTTTTATGCTTTCTTTGTCGTCTTGATGTATCAAAATTCAACTTCTTCAGACTTATTTTAAATGGAATAATATGCAAGGCATTTGAATACTTTTTTAAATTTAAAATTTGTTTAATTAAATTTAAAACCATGTGAATTAACTTCAATTTATTTGAAGGAATTTATTTACTTTTAAAAATATTATGACCACATATTGTTGATTTCCTGCATATATTTTTATAGCAATGTTTTTAATTTATGTAACCGATTATCTTAAAAATTACTTAGCACGCACAGCCATAGCACTTAAGTCAGCAATGCATTTGTTAAGCGTTTCTTTTTCTTGTTGTGGAGTGATATTAGATAAAACATTGTTTACAATCCAGTTAACCATGTGTTTTTGGTTAATGCGACGCTCAACATGATTACATTCCACTTGATATTGCAAGCGGCGTTTCACCTAAAATTTGTAAACAAAAAAATTAAACCGAATTACATTAAAAAATGACAAAATCTTAAAAATTTTACCTCATTGTAAACATTCATTGCGCGTTCGCGGTAGGCAGCTTCTAATTGGAGAGCAATGTTTTCTTTCTTGGCATCGATAAGCAAAAGAGCACCATCTGCTCGCCATTGTTCCTTTTTCTCATTTTCAATAGCTTCTTTAAGCAATGCAAGCTCCTCTTCTCGGCCTGCATTCCAATCGCCTTCGATTTTCTACAAATGACTTTTGTAGTTTTGCATAATAAAATTTATTGTATTCACGATAAACTTACATCGATCTCGTTATCTAAATATTTGGCTATCGCTGGGCCTAATTTTTTAACTGCAATCACAGCCATAATAGCTAGTGAGAGACCGCTATAATACTCGTGCTCCATGACATATATTTCCTTAGAACACAAATATGTGATCAAACCGACACCAAAAGTGTATGGTCCAGTAACACCAGTTTTATTGTAGAAGAACTGGAACCATTCTTCTGGTATAAAGCCCATACGTACTTTGCCAGGATGTTCTGGACGAATGCGACGTTCAAATTTTTCTGTTGATGAGCCGCCATCACCACCCGCAGCAGGAGTTGCAGAGGTTGCTGCTCTGGCAGCTATTCCGCCAAATGGACGTTGAACTAAAAATATATTTATATTGTTTTTATATTTTGCACAAACTTATTTTTTTATAAATTGCTTTTGACGTTTTGCAAGTTTTGACAATCAAACTGATTACATAAACCACGATGGGTACGAATCGCGTAACCGTACTTTTAATTATACGAATTTTTAAAATTCTATACATCATTTCTAGTTGTTTTTTATTATTTTTAATTGATATTTGTAATTACCTGAAAGTAATGCGGCCCTCGATAACATTTTTATTTGATATTCGGCTTAAGTAAATGTACTCTCGCTCAATACGTCTTCTTTTCACCAAATGACAAACGTTAAATTATTTAACGAAGGAACTTTATTAAAAAATATATTCAACGAAAACAGTTGTCAAAATTAAAGAAACTATTCACAATAGTAAAACAATTTTTTTGAAGCTTTGTTAAGAATTTTTTTGTTAATTTCTAGTTTTTGTTAAAATAAGAGTTTTATTATTATTTTATATTTTTAATTTATGTAAGATTATAAAACTATTTTTAATTTTATTTCTTTTAAATTTTTCGGTGCTAACTGTTACTATAAAAAATTATCATTTTGAATTGTTAATTTTTTCAACAGCATTGTACAATACAATACTTTTAACAGTTTCTGTGAGCAATTGTTTGCAAATCGTCTAACAGTGGTAAATAATGTATAGAAATGCATTAAAAAGTGGTGCTCGTACTGCTTTACAAGCGTGGAAAGTAAAAAACGGTATAACTTTTGTGCATATGTTTACTGTCTTTGTAGAAAATATAGTTTATTAAAGCATATTTACGTATGTCATTGTTTGTGATTATAGTATCTCTTTTTCTTGTATGCACAAATAGATTTAGCAAAATTGCGGTTTGATTTGACTCGGGCAAATGCAGAATTTGAACAGCATTTGTGCAAAGGTTCGTTAGTGTATGAAAATGTGCATTTCATGTTTTTGGAAGTTCGCCAAATAATCTGTCATATTCCACATAACGTCCCGTCTACATAAAACTTAAGTTGCTCAAATTAAATTGTAATACATGTAAAGCTTTGTGTAGAAAATATTGATTTTTTTGCAACTATTGTAAAAATATGTTATATATTTGTTAATAACATCAATTACGATATTATAAAAGAAAAAGAAAACACCTCTATTAGTAATATTTTAAAAACTTTAAAAACCTGTAATATAATCTTAATAATTTTATTTTTATTTATGGTAACACTTTTTGTTTATAAATGCTCTCTTTCATTTTATAATTTTTCCAGCTGTCAATGAGCTAGTCAGTCCTATTAAAAAGCTTAGAGTGACTGCATGTTGTTTTGCTAACGCTTGTACTAATAACTGTTTATATTGTACATTGATAACTACCGCTGCTGATAAACCGTCACAAAATTTACAAAGAAAGTCAACAACACATTTCCTTCATTCGTTTCATAATCGACAACGTATCTTAGAAAACGGCCACCTTAACACAGTGCTCTCGTCCAAACAGTTCGTGAAAGTGCAAAAGCAATTTTATCGCGAGTTTTCTAATATATCGTTGGGAGCGCCAATCAAAAATAGTGAGGCTCCATTACTAGGTGATCTTTGTGATAAATATCGAGCTGTTATAGCACGTACCTCGGCAAATCTAAATTACCAACCCAAAAAAGAAATGACAAAGCAAGAGTTTCAACGTTTACCAACATGTGTTATTCCATCACATTATGATCTGGAACTTAAGCCGAATCTTGAAGAGTTCACATTCGAAGGAAAAACCAGTGTGCAAATAAAGGTAAGATTCATTATCCTCTCATATATTACATTATACATTTATAATATATATTATTTACAAACAAGTATAATGTAAATTGAATTTTTATGCTTGCTCTTCTCCCTTTTTCCGTACCAAACAATTATGTACGTAGGGAAAAGCTTTCATGCAAACAAGTTACGTGTACTTTTACTTTCTCTTATTGAGATTGTAAAAGCAAAGAAATAAAGCATTTAATGGTATTCGCAGATTTCCGTTCCTAATTATAATTTAATATCGTTGTTTAAATGTTGTTATCTTCATAATCATCTCAGATTACTTGTTTATGCATTTCCAGATTTAATATTTATAATATAATAATAATAATAATGCTAAATTCTTGAATAGTAATTGAAAGGATTAAGGATTAAGTAGTTCCTCCATATTATCTCATATATATCGTTTGTATATCCATGTTTACATATGGACTTACAATATTATTAATATAAATACTATAAATGAAAACAAATCTCCGAGGACTTTTACTATTGAATTTCAAGCTTTTTATGGTAGTTCTTAGTCATATGTGGGAAGGAATGTCTTATGTAAGGCTTACCAAATAATTTTAGTGAAAACGTCTGAAAGTAGTTGAGGATGGTTACTGTTAAACTCTATAAATGGAATATAAATTAACATAAAATAAAATTTCGAGATATAAATAACAATATTTGGTCTATAATATAATATTATTTTCAATTTTTTGTTTATTTATGTGTACGATAGTAGGCCTGTCCTATTGTTTTAGTCGTTGTTGTTCTAATTCTTATTGTAACCTACCACAATCTGTAAAACAGATAACATGAAAGAAATTACAAGATGAATACAAGGGTTAGGATGTAGATTGGTTGTGTGAGAGGATAATGTTTTATGGGGATAGGTGAGATTTAAATTGAAGTTAACCAGGTTGAAGTCGGAGAAACCTATCTACCTCTATGGGGCGGCTACAAAATTGAATTGGATTCAGATTTCTGTGTATCTTCGGGCAGGAAAACAGATGGGCTACACGCATTTATGCGTGACAAATAGTAGTTTTCCACATGGCTATATTCTGATCTCAATTGAACTAGGATAGTTCATGCTGTACGTGGAAGGCGTCGTTCTTTGTTACAGTGTAACCGTGCTCGCAAAGAGGATACTGCATCTGTGTGGGGCGATGACGTACTCTATAAGCTAGCGCAGCTAAATTATTTAAAGGCTCTTTATAACAAATAAAATTAAAAAATCTATTCAAATAAGCTCTACGATTCATAATATCCTATTAGTTGAATGCAAGTTAAGTGTCACTTCTTTTCTATGCCGGGCTACGCTTAATGAGCTAACTAGGCCGATCAGTGTCCAACTCACATGAGTACCTATATATCTTGGGCAACTCCACGGCAGACGAGCAAGCACTCTGCTTCCTGATATTCACATCTCAGATTTTGTTATCCCACTTGTAACGATCATGTTGGAAATCAAACAAGAATATTTGAGCATAGCTAAAAAAAAATTAAGAAGATAAACCCTTCTGTCAGATCACAAGATCTATCTAGTTCAAACTGAACAATAAACGTACCATTTCTCAGCACTACTTATAACCAGGAAGATACTAGGAAGATATGCTATGAGACTGGATGTAGCCTCCACCTTATATGTCAGTGTCCATAATTGACTGGGAGAAGATTTAAAATTTTAAGGGCCTGTTTTCTTACCGACTTGATAGAGCTGTCATCCTGCAAAATTTCAGACTAGGTCAAGTTTATAGATTTTTAGTTGGATCACTTTAACTTGAGTGGAGAGTCGTGCCCTTTGGCATTGCTCGTACTCTGACTTACGCTATGTAAGTAACCCGCCATTTAAAAAAAGTTTCTGTCTGTTTTTATAAAAAAAGTACAATCTGCACTAATTATAACGACAGTAACGACGTGTACTGTGATTTCCAACGAGACCTCAATGATGATAAACTTTTGCTTTACTTTATGAAAAAAATTTTCATTCATATATATTAACTATTGTAACGTATGAATATGTTTCGGAATGTTACTTTAATGTTGTATCTATTATCCTTAAATATCTATTATTTATTTTATTTACCAACTCCCAGCAGTCGACTAAAATTTCTTTTAGGTAATAATTTTTTATTCAAATGCTCCAGAGATAGCATTCCCAAGACAAAGAACAGTTTTTGGGTTTAGTTGTTCAGGACCAACATTTTATTAAAATACGTTATATCCATGTCTCTATAAAAGGTTGCAAATTGTATGTAAGTCTATGGCAAACCAAATTTGACTTAATAAACTGGTTATATCAAGTGTCGTTATAAGTGATTTCTACGGTATTATTTTTTATAATACAGATTGCGATACATAAATCTAAATAACATTAAATTAATTTATTTAAAATTATTTATAATGAAAGTTAAATTTATTATAATTATATATAATTAATTTGTTGCACGTAAATTTTTTATATTAAAATGTAATATTCAAACATATTTATATGTATAATATTTTTAAAACTTAATTAGAGGGATACTATTTTAACTTCATTGCCAACTATTTCAGTCGGAAAATTATGCATGTTCATAAATAATAAAATTTGTATCTTTTTTGTAACATTTTTGCTTTGTATGTAATTAAACAAATTTTTAATAAAAAATTTAAAATTCTAGCTCCGTCACTTCGTTTAATAAACAAATAATTATTAATTTTCTGTGATAATTTGTTCAGTCAACTTACTTAATTTTCCCAGTAATTAAATATTCAGGTCAAATTTAAATGACTTAAGCGAGAAATAGAATGTTTCAACTATCAGTTAGTTTAATCAATAGTGAAAAACGATGACTCAGTCCTCATCTATAAACTTGTGTGCATTTTATCTCTACTTCAATATGCACTGTTATGCATTAATTGCATTCATTACTTATAAAGTATCATTTTATATAGAGTTCAGATTATTATCAAGCAACTGTTAGAGATATTGTATTCATTGCATCTATTCAATAAAATTCATTTCTTAACAAAAAATTAAATACTAATTCTTGAACTATTTTTCTAAAGAAGATTAATCCAGCTATTTTTAGATTAATATTGCAAAGTAACAATTAATACTTTTTCCATGTCTCACGAGCGAAGGGACGTCAAATTGAGTTAAAAAAAGCAGCTATATATTTTTTATAAAAACTAATTTCGTTCAAAATGAAATGTCATAAATCTAAATATTACTTATTTATTTATGTATTCTATAAATTACAATCAGAATTGAATAACTTAGTCTATTCACATATGCTTTTCAGACACCACTGCGTTGTCATCAAATTTCCATTCCTATCCGAAGCTGCTCGAATCATTTGGAAGTCGCTGTGACTGTGACTGATTAGACCAAAGAATCCTATTTCTGTAGTAAGTTTGCTACCTTACATAAAAGCCTCTGTTTTTATGTGGCAATTGGTATTTTCCCTAAGAACTAGTTGTTGTGGAACAGTTATACCGCTTAACACTTGGTCGGCATTCCCTCATATGTTTAAAACAGGGATCACCACGAGAAGGTTGAGGATGGCATTTGTATAGAGAGGCTTTTTGAGACGCATGTATACATCTTGATCCCCTATTATTTATGTGATTTTGATTAAATATCACTTTCAACCATTATTGGTTAGAACCTTTGCTTCTATATAATAAAATTCAAAAAAATTGAAGTTCTTGCTTTTCACATTCCTTTGTTACCTGAGCCTTATTGTACTCAGGCAATGGTTAAGCAATATTAAGACTGTATGATGAATGCATTAAAACTTTTTCATCAAAATCTTTTAATTAATATTTTAATAAAACTACGCATTTTCGCTTTATCATTTCTGGTCTTTTTTATATATTTTCAGATACAATTTCTAGAACAAAATCAAGCACTTATAGTTGTAGTTTTACTATAATGACTACAATTCTTCTGATACATCCCATTTCTTCCCTTTATCGAAGTAAAATTATAAAATGTCGTGAATTTCCAAACTAAATATGTTTTTGTTTTTCCATTAAATTTAAGTTTTCTTTTAAGATAAAATCAAATAAACTGGATGATACGAATCGTATAGGAGTTTTGCATATAAATTATTTACAAAGTTATCGGTCAATGCGGAAGCATACGACAATTCATACAGATCAGTCGGGTAAAAAAAAACTGTCCGATTTCTTATTCTAAATAGTTACAAACTGTGTTTAATCACTTCTATTGACTTTTTCTTCTTCTATAAAATTTTTTGAATTTGTTTATCGACCTGTTTTTTTATAATGGTTTTTATATAATTTTCAATTTGTCGCTTAATTCGCTATAGATCCCATTTTTGTTAAATAATTCAATGTTTAATATTTTTTATTATACTCTATATATCGACTCTCCTTGAGAGTCATCTTCTGGATCACGATCTAACATAAATTAATATTACTAAAACTATATCTGCGTCATCCTCTTTATTCTATCGTCTATATATTCTTCTTCTATTAGTGGAGAAGACACTTGAAAATTTCTGAAAATGTGAACTTATTGAGTACCTTCTTCTGATTTTCACTCTACTGCATGAGATATGGAGTGTTGAAGCAAAAGATACATTGTTAGATTTATTATTAGTTTAAATTTCTTCATTGTTAAACTAGGAGGCTAATGTTAGGGATAGCACAATAGACGTTATAGCTCGCAGCATGCATTTGATATTCTAAAGTCATGTGAGCAGATATATGACGAACAGTTTTTTGCAACCCATTAATAAATTTTTTTCTTTATATATTATAATTATTGATGATTGATAATTTTCTAACAAGATTATGTCTGATTGTTATATGTCTGTTTGTAATATATAGTTTTGTACAAACCATACCCTTATACGTATACAATAGTATACAAAAGCAGTAGATAAAATATTTAGAATTAATAAATAATTAGAATTCCTATCGGAACATTAACCCCTAATTATTTAACAAAATTAAATATGCATTAATAATTATGAGTTCCATTATTTTTTATGTATAGCATCTTAAAAATTAAATTCATAGTACTTATAAAAGCATTGCGGTTGGAATCTATTAAACAGTACTCGTACTCGTATATTAATTAACATATAAGTGTTGTTTTAGTTTCAGTTTTAGTTTAGATATTAGTTGATAAAATATTATCATAAAGTGTTAGTAATTTTTTAATTACAGAGGTTTTTTTGTAGATATGCAATATTTGCAATAATAAGGGATTTTATCATAATAATTATATACAATGACACGAGTATCTTTCAAGTGGCACATTTAAGATTTATTCAAATTTTAATAATTTTATTTTAATGCAAATTTTTTATTTAAATAAACGTTTGCAAACTAACAGATCAGCTTATGTGATTATTGTCATATTTATTGTAACATTTATAATTATTGAATAATAATTCTGTTATCAGGTGGAGTATCTTAAATATATAAAATACATTTTATGTAAATAGTTTTTGTTGGGTAATTTTATTTAAAATTAATTGATTGATTTTGTTTTACTAAAGCCTGTCTATATAAATATATAACTTTATAAATGGAAATCACAAATAGACATGGTTTTTTCCATATCACTCATTAGGTTAGTCTGACTGGTTTGAAGTATAAACATATTGGTGTCTAGCGATATCAAATAGATTATCTCTACCAATTGTTTTTGAGTTTTTCTATCCCAGCCTCTTTAACTCTATGTATAAATAGTATTAGAGGATTTTTTGCAATTTTAAGCAGCGAGTGAAAGAAGCTCTATTTTGACATACTACCAGGATAGTCCTAATACTAGCAAATTTGTTTTATATTTCGAATATAAATAATGGTAATAAATGTGGTATATTTTTAAACACTCTTAATAAGGTAAGGTATTTGTTTTTTGACCAACCAAAATATTGCAGTATTTTCAAACCCAAAAGTAAAGTCGTATTAGTTTTAGATTGAGGTCGTATTAATTTTAGATTGAAGTCACTTTAATATCGAAGAATATTGTAGAGTTATTAAATTACAGTACCACTTGCGCAAAAACACAATAATACCTATGAGTAGATCATTACACTTCTCGATTATTCTTATATTCCTCCAAATGTCTTATAAAATATAAATAATAGTCAGAATAAAGCCGCCACATGCCAAGTACACCCTTGCCGAATATATGTCATAAAAACAAACATTCTTTTAAGTTTAAAAGCGTTAGAATGATCACATTCTCAATTGGAGGTCATTGTTTCATAGGTAGACACGTGACTAGATTATGTGAACCCTTTAAAGACATCTGTGGAAACCGTCACGAAGAATGGACATACATTATACATTCTTGATTATACATTTTGTGATTGTCCGGTTTTGTCTTTACAAAACGTCAATGCTTTTAAAGATTTATATTATGAAAAATTGTAAACAATTGACTATATTTTATTGAAACTAGATTGTTTCAAGATGGTTGAAACTAGATTGTTTTAATAAAATAAATGGTATTAGTTGTGACCAAGGAGGTTACAAATTTAAAAACATCCTTACCAAGCCAAAGATGTTGAACGTCGTTATTAAATTATTAACCATGGCTTCTATATGGTATTTCCATTGGAAGGTATATTTTTGGTTTGGAAGTCATTATGTCTTGATATTTCTCTCTTGTGGGTAAATATTAGTTTTACAATTGTAAATATTTTCAATTTGAAACAAATACGTAATTTAGATAATTCGATAAGTGGGTTCTTCCTCAAGGCACAAATAATAGTGCTCTGTAGAATTCTTCGAGAGACTAATAGGTCGCAGAATAAAGACACTAGTTCAACATCTAAGCTCATATGGTCGAAACTTGATGGGGAAAAAAATTAATAGAATTGTAATTATGTTTCTAGTTCGCTCACCCAAGTTCATGTAGTGCTGTTCACATTATTCGAAGTTTTTAAAAATTCGAAGTTCTTCGAATATTCGAATATTCGCATTTCAACGAAGTCTTCGAAGTTGGAAAAAACTTCGAAGTTTTTGTGAATTTTTGTTCTCGAAGTCTTCGAAGTTTAAATGTAGTGAAAAACTTCGAAGACTTCGAAGACTTCGTAAGCAAAAGGTGAAGTGAGAGCGCACAATGCAAACAAACGTGCATCACACAAATTATTTGAGGGATGAAAGCGTTTGCTTTGTTTGTACGGTTTTATGTTTTTTGTTGTTATTCTATGCAGAAAATTAAAAACATGTTTTTTTGTTTTATTTTATTACATAAAATTTATTTTATTATTAAATATGTATTATAATATATATTATTTTTAAATATGTTATTATTAAATATTTTTTATATTAAATAAAAAATTCACATTTTAAATAACTTATATTTATTATTTATATTTAAAAAATTATATTTATGAAAATTTTTAATATAATATAAAATACATGAAAATTTGATGGAATTTCTTTTATACAATTTTGCTTATACACTAATTTACATTTTATTTAGATACTTCCTTATAATATTATGTATTTCTTTTCCTAGAATAAGGGATTTAAAAATTTTCCATAAACAGTAAAATAACTGTAACTACAACAAAACATTCAAAATTTTATAATGCAAAAATAAATTTGCGCTTACCTGCGTGATCATCACAGCTCATACAGGTCAAATAATTAGGCATTAATGAGCAAAACTCATTTTTCCATAACTAATTTTCAAGGTTTTAATTTGTGATTTTCTTTTTAAAGGAAAATGAAAATTTTTATAAAATTCCATTACTAATAAAATCCATCAATATCAATATTTTCATATTATTACGTATATATTTTATATTATAATAAAAATTTTCTCAAATATGATTTTTTAAATATAAATAATAAATATAAGTTATTTAAAATGTGAATTTTTTATTTAATATAAAAAATATTTAATAATAACATATTTAATAATAATGTATATTATAATACATATTTAATAATAAAATAAATTTTATGTAATAAAATAAAACAATAATTTTCTGCATAGAATAACAACAAAAAACATAAAACCGTACAAACAAAGCAAACGCTTTCATCCCTCAAATAATTTGTGTGATGCACGTTTGTTTGCATTGTGCGCTCTCACTTCACCTTTTGCTTACGAAGTCTTCGAAGTCTTCGAAGTTTTTCACTACATTTAAACTTCGAAGACTTCGAGAACAAAAATTCACAAAAACTTCGAAGTTTTTTTCAACTTCGAAGACTTCGTTTACTATTCGAATATTCGAATTTCTTCGAATACTTCGTAAATTCGAATATGAACAGCACT